TGTGTGTGTGTGTGTGTATTAAAATTTCACTAACTATATTTTATTTAACTTTTTCGAATTATTTGAATATGATTTGTTGATGATTCTATTAACAATTAATATATATTTATATAGACAATCATCAGATCATTAATCAAAGCACTCATACTACCGCGCAACGCACGGTTCCCATACTAGTTTTGATTATATGGCATCTCTTGTTATTTTTTTTATAGTAGGTTTCTGGTTCAGTTTTTATGTGCATCGACTGAACCCGATGATCATGACTGTACTGATGTCATCACAGATGGACCTCTATGGTCATAAAGGTTTTGGTAACGTCTGGATTTGAACCTAAAATAGATAAGATTTTTCATTATCCTCTCTGAGACGTGTTATTGTGTGATTTTAAAGTGAGTATCGAGAGTGTCTGGAACCTCTGATCCCTTGCGGTGCTCCATTTGGTGAATGTGGGTTGGATTCCAGCATTGAATAGATCGGCATATAAGAATATTTGTCCATCAGTAATCGAAATTACATTCACGATCTTATAATAAGAACAAGAGATCTTTCTCGATCAATCCCCTTGCCCCTCATTCTTCGAGAATCAGAAAGATCCTTTTCAAGTTTGCTCGAAATCTGTCAAATACGAGCCCTTCTTTCTCTATTCAATCCACGGCCTACCTCGATACACCTATTTGAAGTGGCTCATTTTGTACCAGAGAAGCCTATGTATGAACAAGCCCGGCTCGCGAGGCGTCCCTCTCGCAGTAGAGTTCCAAACCTCACCTCGCTCTTGTGACATGCTATGTTTCCCCTCTCTATTCCCAAGTAAAGGGTGAGTACCATGCGTCATTATATCCTCTCTGAGACGTGTTTCTTGAATTAAAAGATTGAAGTCATGTTTCTTGAATTTTCGAGGTTTGATGAACAATTCTTGCTTAAAATATTAACTTCATAGAGACTTTTTTGTAAGATTAAAAAATAGAGAAAATTACGATTTTTGTTCATGTAATTTATAATTTATTATTATTTTCGTCTTTAAGACTGATATGTTAAAATCCTTCAACTAATTCGGGATATTTTAGTCTTTTTTATTTTTAGTTTATTAAATATATTTTTTGATATTTTTTTTCCCTCTTTGATCTAATAAAACTATATAATATTGGATATTGAAATTATATATATATATATATATATATATATATATTATTTGTTATTGAGTTATATAATATGCAACAAATAAACTCTCACATTCCTTATTTTTGGTGAGGTTTGGACTTTGGACTCCTAACCTCCTGTGTAGTTTCTGGTAGAGGACGGGCTGGGTGTACACCCAAGGCTCATAAGAAATAGAAGCCCAATTAATTTCCACATATATTATAAAGTATAGTTCAAAATTTTCAATAAATAAAAGGGATACATGTTTTTTTTTAGGGGCTGTTCATCAAACGCTTACCCGGGTAAGCGTTTACCAAGTAACATTACCTCACTGGATGAATATGGTAGAGACCAAGAATCTTACCCGGTAAGTGAGGGCGACGACTCTTATCACGATAAACGCTTACCGGGTAAATTATTGCATACGATGTCGTTTTAGTGGACTAAAATCTTACCCACAAAGTAAATAATAGTGTTAAATTATGTTTTCTCCTAGAAAAATTATGTACAATTAAAATGTAAAATTATTTTGCCTACAAAACATTGATATATTGTCCATCAATCATCTCCCACCAACTCTTTTGATCTCCCTCTACATGAATTCTATTTTATATTAGAATACAGTAGATTTCTTGTTATTAACTAAGAAAAGTCCTATCTTTTGAAAAAAAAAATTCTCAGTTATATGAGACGATCTGATTTATATATGTATTTAGGATTTCAAAACTAACATTGCTTTTAAATACATTATTAACTTCTTATTACCTAATATCGAGTGTATGAATTTTAAGTACTATCATCTATACTATATGATAAAACATTTTTTATGCATCAAATATGGTTTATTGATGCATATTATTTAAAATACAATATTATAAGTAAGTGTGCATAAGTATAACTTTTTAAAGCACCAAGTTTGAATTTGTGTAATTAACTRCAGATAAACATAATTAAATATAGAATAAACATATCATTTTAAATATAAAACATCTAAAATATAATTAGAATAATCATTGAGTTATAATAAAATACTTAATTATTATCTTTATAAAAATAAATTTGTATTATTAAACCAAAAATAATTTATTTCTTTATTAAATCTAAATTAAATTATAATAAAAAAAATTGAATTAAACAAATAACATAAAAAATGAGAACTTTTAAATAGTTAATTTGATACTAATATCAATATATTTACACGTTTTTATGAGATCTTCATATTTATATTTTACTCAAATATAAAACATTATCGTTTTCTAAAAAATACATAAAACCGGATTATAACATCGACCAAGAGAAATTAAATCATGATATATCAAGCTGCATTGCGTGAGTAATATTTTAGTATCTCTAAAATAAGAATAAGATCTCAAACTAAAACCAAAATATACTTTTGACAATAAGATTGATTGATGATTTCTAAAAAGTTTGTTTAAACCCTAATTAAATGGTTACGAAAAATTAAAATGATGTGACATGGAAAAACAACTGATTTATATAAAATGTTATTTTGAATAGTCAACCTTTTGAGCTTAATTGATGTTAATCTATATACAAAAGATATATATATATATATATATATATATCTATATATATATATATATATATATCTATATATATATCATGGAATATGTTTTGTGGTGGAACGAATTTACGATGATACGTACAAATGACATGGTAAATAATAATAATAATATAGAATTAATTATCGAATGATTTTACATCTGAATATACTTGAAAAAAACGTTTTATAAGAGTCATTAATATTTTTTTGAATTCAATGTTATTTTCTGATGATAAACAATAAATTGAATTTTTTTAGTACTTATCGATGATTTCTTTTTACATCTCGTCCATGGCCTATAAAATATAAGGAACGGGTCTGCTAATCTCCTAGAAGACCAAARACTACAATACCGTTAGACCAAAGGTTCTATGATTTATTTTGTTATTATTTATGATAAAATAATTAAAATATTTTTTTGCTGCAACTAGTTTTTTTTATATAAAATAATTAAAAAAAACTAGTTGTATCAAAAAATATACAGTTTGATTAAATTAAAAAGACTGAAATAACAATAAAAAAACCAAAAAAGATATTTAATGAACCAAAAAAGAAAAGATAAATCAAAAAGACTAAAACACCCTTAAGTTAAATCGATGATATTTAATAGATTTAGTCTCAAGAACGAAAACAATAATAAATTATAAATTATGAGAATAAAAACAACAATAAACTACAAATCACAGAGACGAAAATCCCAATCTTTCAAAAACAAAGTGACAAAAATTATGGGTGTTCATCGGTTGAAATCCAACGGATTTAAGTGGATCCAATCATACATTGGATGTTGGATTTTGTCATCTGATCTGATCTGATCCAATCCGATTAGCATTGGACATCCGGTCCGATCAAAATCCAATAGATAATTGGATCGGATTGGTTTGATTCATTAATATTACTATTAGTTATCTATTGGATGAGATTGGATTAATGCAATTTTTTGATTTAATACAAAACCAATTAATTCACCATTTTAATCAATTATTCGTATAATTTCTTAAGTTATTAAAAAACAATGTATATAAACAATATCAAAAAAAAAAAAAAAACAATGCTCGTAAAATGTAAATAATTGTATAAATATTGATTGAATATTAGTTGGATGAGAAATTGGATGATCATCAGATTAAATCGGTTCAGTTTATTGGATGTTGGACTGTCATCCCAGAACGATTGATCCGATTTGCATGTTGAAATTTTGTATCCGATACTAATACAATCGGAGATCCTATTATAATCAATCAATTTTAATTGGATCGGTCAGTTTAAATTAGATCGGATGACTTTCTGCACACTCTTAACAAAAATCATAATTTACACTTTTTGATTAATCAAATAATATCTTTACCCTTATTTAATTTATCACTTTTTACAAATTTTGAATATTTATACATTAATTAAGGATAGATTTAAGAGTTATTTACTTTATTTTTGAAAATAGACACTTACTTTAAAACAAATAAATTTATAATAAATTAAAATATAATGTACTTCAATTTTATTGATCGGACTCGACAGACATGGTATTTTAAAACCGATGATTTTTGAACCTTGCATTCGACTAGGTCGAACAAAGAGTCGAGTCAATTTTGTTTTTCATTTTCGGATGATTTTTGTTCATGATAGATTTAGAAATTGTTTACCAAAACGTTTACTCGAATAAGTATTTATCAAATTACATTATCCTACTGAATGAATATGATAAAAACCAAAAATTTTATCCAGTAAGAACCAAGAATCGAGTCTCTCACTCCATAAGTGATGGCGACGTTTTACACCCTTAATCCTAAAATACCGAAATCTGATTACCTTGTATGATCATGGTAATGATCCATCAACACGTTAGTTCTTTTTCTAAAGTGGAAAGGAAAAATTCATCCCGGAATTGGGAGCCCTTTTAGCGGATTATTTTCACGCAAAGGTTCAGGTTCATATTTATTCTGTTTTGTTGGTAATAATGGAACACTTTTGTTCGTAAAAACAAAGAGAAACAAAATTATTCCAACAATTGACACTTGCACCGGTTAAATTGTTACATACAGCATCATAGATTAAAATCTTACCCGATAAGTAAATGATATTATCGAATTTTACGGATAAAACGCTTATCAGGTAGGTGTTGAGGCCCGTTAAGCTTAATCCATGAGTGACATAATTTAGATTAGATTTAGTATCAATCTCAATCGAAGTATTAATTAATCTTTAAAGCCCTAATTAACATATCTTTTATGTAAAATGGGTGTAGGAGTTTACCATGTGTTGTTCCACACTTGATTAATACAAATCCATCGTAAGCAGATAATTAATTAATGTAGTATAAATTCAAAACACCCTAAAAATCTATTGATAGTTTACCTTTTTAACATATGTCTTATCCTCCTATAATTCATCCTACTTTACAAGACCAACAGCTCTTCAATAACCCCACAAACGTTGTCTCTCGAAACCCACGACGCCCTCATCTCCACCACCACCACCACCACCCTCTTCCACCGGAAAATAATTACTCGTCGCGTTCCGATACTCTCTGAACAAATTACACTCCTGCTCATCCTGATAACCCGTCCTGAGATTACCGGCCACTTGGGCCAACGACGAAGAATCCGTCGACAACCCACGAGCATGTCGAGAAGCCGCCACCTGTATCTGGGAGGGGGAGAGGTCCGCCGTTATGGGGATGTCCGGTGGATGGTTAGGGAAGTTAATCAATGCCGACGGTCCACGCAAGCAAAAGAGGGCGGCGTCGTAAGCCCTGGCCGCTTCCTCTGCCGTGTCATATGACCCTAACCATATCCGATCACGACTGTTGGGTTGACGGACTTCCGCCACCCACTTTCCCCATTTTCTCATCCTAACACCCTTGTAACGCCCCTCCTTCCTCTCCTTTCTACCACCGCCCCCTGTCGGTCTCACCATCTAATCGTAAATCTAATCACATCAACCTACGTACATATGTATGCATCATGTACATACAACACCCATATATAGATGCACACATCATGTATATATATAGATATATACTGGTATATCGCATGGAAAGAGAATACGTGGAATGAGAGCATGTGCGCCACGTTGTAGTTGAGTTCCTACTGACTAAGAAAAGAAGTGATAAGTAACTTCAGCCGCAATATGACACGTATGCATCATGACACGTGTATGGATATAAGATCGTGTACGTGTAGCAAGTAGATGGAATGGGTACACGTTGACCGTAGCCGCAATCACACGTGGAAAGCAAACGAAGTCGCTATATATATATATAGAAAGAGAATCAGCTAGCTGTAACAACCTTATATGTGTACACACGTTTTAAACCCCATCACCGATGACATCGTGCCTAAAAACGTTTGGTCATCAATGTACCATAAAAAATGTTACAAACTTTAAACGTTTATAACTTTTGAATCAGAATAAGTTATGATGTCGATCAGAGACGAATCTAGCCCTTAAGGACCGGAAAAAAGGTCCATAATCAAAAATAAAAAATATTTGTTGACTAGTTTAAATAATAGTATAAAATATTTGTATATATTTTTACACAGTTTTGGGAACAACGGTGTGAAATGGTATTCAAACTCTTTTACATGATTTTATCACCCAAAAACCGTGTGAAAAAGTTTTAGAAAAACAAGGGTATCTTTTTACACGGTTTTTTTAAAACAGTATAAAAAAAGACATGTGAAAAAACCATTTTTATAGTAGGTACTCTATGCATGAAATTTTCATAATCTAACACTATATATACCTTAACAAAAACTAGGTTTATAACTTTAGACTTAAATTGTTATCTTATCTTTTAACAAAATTAGCAAAAAGTATAAACTATTGAAACGTAAAGGGCTAAACATGTCAACTTCAAAAAAACTTTTAAAATGAACATGTGATGRAAATAGATCATAGCACCAGTGGCTACCTCCGTCCACTATCGGGTTCACTCTACTGTTTTATGCTTTTCAGTTTTTACAATTGGAATTAATTAACTTTTTAATTTTACATTTTGACCATAAAATAAATTTAAATAAAGTTATTTAGTGTTGAATTTTACATATTATCTTTGTTTTTTTATATAAAATTTATATACAGTAAATAGAATAAATAACACACACCCATCCTTTCTCACCTTTGATAAAGTTTAAATCCTTGATTTTTTATAAGACCATAAGACTCATCAAAAGTCATTTATACAACCATTGACATTTGTGCAACCAATACAACTCAATCTCAACCGTCCATTTCATTTGATGAATATGTGATTTCATAAAAATTATGATTGTTTCCTAATATAAAGTATTAAACATAATTAATGAACTCTATTAATATTCCATATATATTCAAATCATAATAAATGTACTCCCATCATTTCTATAAATATCTCAATTAATTGGGTTGCAAGGATTGTACAAATACACAAGGTTGTAAAAGAAATATACCCTATATATATATATATATATATATATATAGGTGGAGGTTCAAACGAGAACACATTCATTTTATGAGAACGCGAAAACACTCTTAACACATGTGATAATACGCATGAGGGGACGTTGTGATGAGCGAACGACGTATTCTACGACTTAGGTCGCGCCAAAGGTTGTCTGCGTCTATGATTTAATATCACATGTGATGGTCTTGATGGATTATAGTATCATATCAATAATAACCTTATCACATGTGATAATAATTGTGAGGGGGCTTAGTGATGTAAGGATGACTTAGCCCGCAACTAAGATCACATAGAAAATCGCTCGTGTCTCTGATTTAGTATCACATGTGATGAAATAATAGTATCACATGCGCGCAATTGTCTATAGTAAAAAAATGTTTTCACGTTCTCGCAAAATAAAGATGTCGTTTTATATACAGAAATAGAATAGAATAATGGTTGCATGAATGTTATGAATTTGATTGTAGTTGTCGCTCCTTTTTCTAAAAGACGATGTTATAGATGACAAATGGAGCAATCTTATTGACATCGAGGATAAATGGTACATAAAAACATTATTTGATGTGTATGTATGTATTGCTCATCTCCACACAATTGAAGCATTCAGGAATCATAGAAACCTTAAAAGATAAAGAGGATATTGCCTCCATTTCCATCTCCATGGCCTTCATCACCTGCACCACTGTCTTATTATGTCGATCAGCAACTCCGGTTACTAAAAACTTCCAGAATTCCGATCACCCTTTTCTCCGGCAGGTGTGTATATATATATATATATATATATATGTGTGTGTGTGTGTGTGTGTATATATATATATATATATGTAGATGGTTGATGGTGTAATGGATATTATTGATCAAAAGCTCCAGAGAAATGATGGGCCTTGCGAGATATCCTCATCGCATGAATTCTCATCTTCGTAATAAGGAGTACGTGGAGAAACGATTGGTGGCGGCCGCATGAAATAATCATCGAACCCCGGAAATATTCCGTAATCCGTCACATTATTACTGTTATCGTCGTCGTAGTGTAACAGAAAGGAGGTGGAGGCAGCCTCCATGGGAGCGGCGGGATGAGAAGCTGAACCAGACGGAGACTCGGAGAATTGGTGGTGGTGGTGGTGATGGGAATGAGAATGGGATGAGTTGGCGTAGTCAGCGGCGGCAGCTTGTATCTGGGCGGCGGAAAGAGACCTTCCACCGGGAATATTAGGCGGTTGGTGAGGGAAATTAAAGGTGGCGGTGGTACCACGAAGGCAGAAAAGTGCAGCATCGAAAGCTCTAGCAGCTTTCTCCGGCGAGTCGTAGGAACCCAACCAGATCCTTTCACGGCTGTTGGGAAGTCTTATCTCCGACACCCACCTCCCCCATTTCCTCTTCCTGACTCCTTTATACTTGGGCTCTTGATGATCAGCTGAACTCGTTTCTGCAGCAGGTTTCACCATTAATGACCTTAACTTTGTTATCGGTCGCTAGCTAGATATTTCTTGGATGAATGTTTATATGTATGTGTTGTAATTAGGGTACTCGTCAGAAAAAGACGACTCACAAAGACGGGTGGGTCAACCGTCCGCGTTGATCAAGAAATCTTGTGTTGAAAAACACACACACACACACAAATCTCTAGAGCTCCTTTTCAATTTTTTCCCACTAATCATATAAAGATCTTATCTTTGACATATATCAAAGATGAAGAAAACATTGGAAGATCTCTTCATTATGCAACTTATATATATATACATATATAATGTATATATATGTATATATATATATTATGTATGTATATGTATATACATATTATGTATGTATAGTTTGAGATAGGGAGTGGGGGATGGTTTTACGCGGTGGGATTAAAAGAGCACGTGTGCTAAATGGGAACGCCATGTGGTAAGAAGTGGTCACTTTCAAGAGTGAAAAAGGCCCCACATGCATAGCGACTTAGCGATTGCAAAGATTCTCCTTATCTTCTCTACTATCGACTTTTTCCCAATTTCAGTCCCTCTACTTTTACCCGCTTTTTATTTTGTTTCTTTCGCGCCGTAAGGATTCTTGTTCCGTCCATGGTTTTTCTACTCTTTCTTGTTTTGCCTTTTCTGACTACCAAGGGTTAGCTAACTTTGATTGTATTCGAATGATCTCTGTGTGCAACTTATAGAGGCTGTTTACCAGCACAAATTAGGTAAATGCTAACGAAATAAGAATGTGGTTGAGATAAAACGTTTGGTTTGTTCAATCGATAACTTAAAACGGTTGTTGGCCAAGTATATTTGTTTGATTAGGTCAACATCTCTCTCGGTTAGAAGTATAGGTAAACAACATCATCTTTTATTGGTTAAGAGAGTACTCTTGATGATTTTACTGTCATCAACCATTTGGTGTAGTTGTGATTTACTAGAGATCGATTGAGATGATAAGGAAAGCATAAGTAAGTAAATGAGTGTGAAGTGCACACTCACAAATGTTGTTACCATCATTTTAGATTGCCAAAAGATGGGGGTCAAGGGGGCTATGCCCTCTTGCGGAGTTTGAGGGGCAACGCCCCTAAGTACAAGTAAGGACTAGTACAACAAGAGTTGTGGGTCTAAAGTTGTAGTGAAATCAAACTGAGTTGTGGGTCTAAAGTTGTAGTGAAATCAAACTAAGTGTCTAACTCTAGACCTGCTACTCATACTTGATTCTGGACTAAGTCCTAAGTGTGGACTAATGGGTTTAGAGATCTTGACATATTCATCAAACTTGTTCCAGACTTGGTCCTAAGTCTGGACTAATAAAGTCAGACTTTAGACTCGAACTCTGATTCGACTACAACTACTCTTCGATCTTATTCATTAAGGATTATTATCATTTAATCGTCATAACTCTCAATCTCTCTTATAAATGCATAATTCATGATCTGAAGAATATATATATATATATATATATATATCCCTTATTATTTCGTGTATGATTTCCTAGATTATCTCGATATTGATTTTGTGTAAATTTAAGGCATAATAGGGGTAAAATACGGTAGTTGGAAAATGATTTCCAAACACGATCTAGAAAAATATCCAAGTGATTTCGACCACAGAACCCAATTCCCCAACAAGCACTCCTACCCAGTATAACACCACGTAAACAACTCTTTAATTTCACCACGATGGTAGGTTGACCGTATCCAATAATCATCATGAATCGTTAAGGAAGTAAAGCACATAAACAACATTGTCTTTGCTTAAATTGGGTGGAAGAGTGTAGATTAGAAGTCTAAGGACCAAATTGATATTTCCTAAAGCATGAGGGCTTAATCTCACAAATGCTTTTTCTTCTGGAGCTAGGGAATGGAGGAAACCAAAGGAACATATTTAAAAATTAAAGTCAAGTCAATAAAAGCAAATATTCAAAAAATTGTTATATATGCTTCTTGTGAAATATCGACACGAGACAATACGTTTAATAAACGATAGAGAAGATATATATCTATACTATATTATAAAGCATTTGGCTAAAACTCTTAAAAACTCTTAAAACTCTTAAACATGTTCATCTCTATCCGATTTCATCCCATATCTGAATTCATGTAACTAACTGCAGATAAACACAATCAAATACAAGATAAACATCTCATTTTAAATATAAAAAATCTAAAATATAATTAGGATAATCATTGAGTTCTAACAGAATA